TTTCATTTGCTCACGTCAGCAGCGTACACCCACGGGCAAATGGGGGACGCTAAATTGACCAACCAGAGCGCGCGCTTTACTTTGGTTATGTTATAATAGTGGATTCATCTTATTATTATTAATCTTTTTCACGGGTATTTTGGCGAGCTAAAATGTATGTCAATTCGTTCGCACGCTTGCGTGATTTTTCATACCTCCCCTCCCTCCGCACGGGTTTCCCCTCACCCCATTGGTTTTCCCTAACACCCTACCCCTTAATTCCCTTTGCTTTTTACGTTTTATTTGTTTTATTATTCCAATGAATATTTGGAGAGATCGCTCTCGATGGAGTTTTTATTACTTAGCGTCGGCAATTCGTGTATGCTCGTAATAAAGCATCAAAAGCCAGCCTTATACATTTTGGTGTGGTGGTAAAGGCATCCCACAATTCTTCCATTTTCTTAATTTTGTGGGCACATTAAAATTGATTTCCAATTCGACAGTCCAGATGGTAGCTTTCTCGAGTTACTTTAGAAATCATGATGAAACTTTTGTGAATTTCGTGGTCTGCAATCGCACTTTGTAAGAACTTGTGGATACGCCGGTTTTCCATAAGAACTCGTTACCCGTGTTAGAGAGATGTACTAGCATGATATGCAGCCTCCCACCATTAGCTCATAGCTGTTGTTGATTAAAAAAAAAAGAAAACTCGCTTTATGAATGAAACAGTTGATCTTTTGTCAAAGGTTAAATCTAAATGTTTTTCGCCCTAGGGAAAGACGAATACTTAGACCTCCCCAAACTCACAATATAGTTTCGAAAGTTGAATTTTTTTCACGTATGAATTTCCGCGTGGAACTTACAAAAAACATGGAGTTTAACTTAGTGTAAATCCTCATCCAGAAACCAGGAAAAATTTTTTATCGTTGATCTTGTGTGCTCTTGAAAGTACTTTTAACAAGGCAAAGCTCACAAAGCATCCAGGTGGACAATCAGACATGATTTCTGAGGCGGATCCAGGGGTGGTTCGGGCGGTTCGGTCGAACCCCCTAAATTGCCCCTCAAAATGCTGGAAATCATGTTTCCGAAGACCTAATTTTCAAAATCTCCCGGGGGAGCATGTCCTCGGACAATTCTCCGAACCCAACTTAACTAAATCCTGGATCCGCACCAGGATTTGATGCTCATGGTTTAAAGATTTAATGAATGTAACAGAGACTTACAATTCATAGACACGACCTTTCGACACTAGCTCCTGTCTAGTGCGCTCATCCGGGGTGTTTTAATCGTTGCAACAAGAGTTCTTTTATATGCTCACTAATTATTTGAACTTGTTTGTTAGACGCTATTGAAGCGTTAACTCGAACTTCCTTAGGGATTTCTTGTGGAATATGTCGTAATAATTAGTCCAAATATGGACCCTCTCTCGCTGATTTGGATCGACACCGCGGAAATACGTTTTCTTGACGTCACAGTAACTGGTCAGTGGTCATCAACCTAAAGGTGAGAAGCGCTTCGATTTGTTCGCGAGATCAATGAAGGTATCGGCCCTCTCGTTGGGTTAAGGTGAAAAATATCCCGGATACTTCAAGCTTTTTGTGAGATTTGATCCTCTAAATGTGCTTTTGAAACTGAAACCAAGTTTGAATGAGTACTGGTTCAGTGGAGTCATTTTGTGTGGAGTAAAGTGCAGTTTTTTGCGAACTCCGGCTGATGAAGTGTCGATCGTGTTACTTTCCTCGACTTCAGTAGTGTCTAAAGCAGCGAAAGGGTATCCAAGCAAAG